ACCAACGCCTTATTATCATATTGATTTGACAACACAAACGTTAGATCACCACAAAACATACTTAATTTGCCTATACAAAACTCCTCGGAAGGCGTATTCGATCAGTTGTCACTATTAATTATACATATTTAGTACTAAAAACATGATTACAGTTAGCAATAATTATATAAACAATTATTTTATTATAAACTATAAGCTTCGTATTTACAGAGTCTCTTGTATCTTCGTAACTGGTCAGATAACAGTGCGGTGTTACATAATATATATATATTACCGTCAATGATGATGATTAGACATTAAATGACTAGTCTATGTTAACCCAGCCTGTTTTTCATAGTCATTGATATTATTAGCTAGTCATTTTAGAGAATCTTTAAACTAAGATAGACAATGATAGAAATAGTTTAATGATAATACATTAATTTTATGATTGGCCAATTATTATCATTATTGACTAAGACTATGTAATGTAGTCATTAACAATTTAGTCAATGAAAAACTAACAGTCAATCTGGTTATAAATTTTAATAAGGTACATAATAATATAATATAATATAATATTTATTATTTAGTAATAAGCAGTTGGTACCTATACATTTTTCATAATTTTGATTTTTAATCTTATTCTTATACGATAAGCTGCCGTGGCATTTTGACGTATAAACCCGGTTAATAGATCAACAAGTACATTTATTTGTTTTACATTTTGATTTACATTGGCACCGTTTAAATCCTTGTGTTTCCATAACACTTTTGATTCCAGCCGCTTCACGGAGTGTGATTTCTTTTCAGCAAATAACTTCTGGACGTTTTCAAAGAGAATACATTTTTCTTTGCGAGAAAAAATTTCTTTTCTTATGTATAAATGTTTGACAAAACCTTTCTCTGAGTCTAAAATATATTTTTATTAATTTAAATAAATTTCTATATTTTAAAATTTGCATACCTAATTTATACATGTTATCTTCTACTCTAATGATGACAGTCAACAAATTTAGTGGTGAATCTCTAGCTCGATTAACATCGGGGATTGAAACTCGAATATTTATACCTACTTCAAGTTCTTTAAATTTTTTATTATCATTTTTTTGATCTGATTTCAAAGCATTTTACAGATAATTGTCGTTCATTCAATATTTTGTCTTGTTTAATATTGACTAAAATATAAAAAGCAATTGTTAATCATTATTATTGTTTTTTTTTTTTATAATAATTAATTTGAATCACAGATTAGCTCACTTAGATGCTCATTATTAACTAGTTGAACACCATTAAGAATATTGTCAATATTGCCTTTTTGTCTAATATTAATAATATTATCAATATCTTCAATATCTTCTTCTTGATTTAAATTAGCGAGTTTATTGAGTAGAAATCCAACTGACATTACACTAACTCTTACGAGACACTTAAACATTGTTTAGTACGGTGATTTGTCAATTCCTATTAAATAATAAACGTGGGAAAGTTTATTTTCAACTAATTTTAACTATAGATTTTTATGCATTAAAATCAGAATATATCATATAATATGCAGTAAAAAACGTGAAAATAGACAACTCTAACTTGTAAGAAAAAATAAATAAATTGGGTAATAATATGGTAAAAAAAAGTGTACGTATTTGATAGTGTCTATTATTAACTTATTTTTTGAATTTTTTTAACAAAATATTAATTTATACCTTTTTTTAAAATATTCACATAATATACTAATTTTATTAATAATGTATAGAAATATTCAAATATGGCAACAAAATTCGCTATAATTTTAAACTATTATGTTTCATAATGATTACTAAGGATAATAATATAAAATATAAAATCAACTAATTAGTTAAGTTTTTTAAATTTAACTTTTTAATTAGGTACCTAACCTAGTTAATTTTCAACTTTAGTAACTATCAAATATGTCCGCACAACATTTAATTTATATTTTTCAACAATTTATTTTATAAATTTGAATGAAAAGTCTGATTTTTTCTAAACTGAACAAATTTTATTCCCGATGGCCAGTCTTTAGAACTATTTTCAGCCATCCATGTTACCAAAATATCTTCAACATCGTGATTTGCTCGTTCTACCGACCTTAGGCCTTGGTTTTCCATGCACTATTTTAACATCACCCACATCACATTAAGCTTAGTTATAACAGTCAGTGTAAAATATTGCAGGTATACAAAATGTGGTAAAAATATCGATTAAATTGAATGCTATTTCCTCGGCACGTTTTGATTTTAAAGGTCTGAGTAGTACAAATTTTGTTAGACGGTCCCGATAATTCATAATAAATTTAAAATCAATAAAATTTTGAATTTGCATATCAATAAAGTCAACTTGGGCTCGTGAATTGAATGCATTATGAAATATTGATCTAGAAACTATAGATTTTTTTTTCATAGTGCATACAATGATTTAAATAGGTCGTTATAGTTTCCTTGGAAATATTACAATATTTAGTCTTTAATTCATAAACCATGCGGTCTTGACTATCGTGTAAAATATCAAATAATTCTTCGTTTGAAACATAATAGTGTACACTTTCTGAATCATTACCTACTTATGAATTTAATAAGTCATTATTTTCCGTTAAGTTTTAGTACATCATACTTACAAATGTATCTATAATCTTTTGCACTTTTCTTCTTAATTTTTTCCTTCGCTAATTTCACTTTTTGTAATCTTAACAAATATTCCTCATTGTTTAAAAATGATTTATTATCCTCATGTTTATTTTTCAATAAATCAGATAATGTATCGTAAAACTTCTGACGCATTCCATTTGAATTCATGTTAATAAAAAATAATTTAACACTTACCACTTGCCGAAACGAAAAATAATACTTGAACTAGGTAATATTCGATCAATCGTACTATATGTAAGCACAACATAGATCGTAGACTGTAACAAATATTAACAATAATTGTATTGGTTAGTAGTTGTGTGTATTATAACTATAAATAATAATATTATTCGTTAGTCGTTACAAAACTGTAATTTTTACGTGGGTATTAAAGTTGTTATTTTTCTTTTTATTGAAAATATAATTACAGTTTATACAACATTACTGTACAATAAGTAATTTTGATATAGATATTTACATAGCAAATTGACGGATAGGGGGAGGACACTTAATAGTGCCATCCGACAGATTAAAAGTATTATAAGTTAAAATCATTAAAGATAACATTGACTACAAAATGATAGGAAATGTTATAATAATTAGCCAATCTATCAAATTAAAAAATCGTCGGATTTATCAAGTCAATGTTATAAATATATTTCTATTATAGATAATGATCAAGTTATCCAGGTATTATATGAATTGACTAACCAATGTCATCATTACCTGAATTTACGACATGGATGGCAACATATACAATACCATCGTGTTTCATGCTTGCAAAAAATGCTGGAATATTATATTTAAATTGGATAAATATCAATGGAAATTGGAAATAATATATCCAGAAATAGAATTTTATTAGATAGGTCATTAGGGATGCATGTATTTTCTCCTAATATTTTCCATAATGCAAATGCATAGTAAATTGTAGAATATAATTTATAGTATTTTATTTAAAATAAAAAATGTAATTAAACGATTAAAAGTGATAAATTATCATACTGATAATAATGCTTAGATATAATATTATTTTCTTCTTATTACACAATAAGTTTTTTTATTCTTTACAAATTCAAAATTAAAATATCAAAATACAAATGAATACAAATTATTTCCATACTAATATAATATTATCATCTTAATATTTAGTATTTCTGGTCTGTTTATAAATTCCAAAAGAACCAAGGATTATCTTTATAATTTATAACGGTAATAAACAATAATATCTGTTTTAATTATTAATTTACGTATACATGGAATTAAATAATTAAAAACGCCCAACGAATATGCTGTACCATTTTTAATTATTAAAGTTTAAATATTTATAAAACAATTAATATTATCCTATATTATTATTTATTTGTTCGATGGGTATTTGTTGTTGCAATGCCATATTTATTTCTATATTTAATAGAAATAAATACGAAGAGCTTTGCTTCTCTACTACACGCGACTCATGGAATAATCTAAAATAAATTCTTAGTTGTTTTTAAAAACACTATTTGGCGTTAACCTAACCTATAACTTGTTTATTGTTTTCCTATCATCGATATACCATACCTTTTATATTTTACGGTAAATATAATATTAACAGTAGAAAAAGCTGGTGTATTAATGGATTTTTATTCTATTAAATATTAAATATAAATTATTATCTTTTATAATCTTGACATAAAAAATCTATAATAGTATTGATCTATAGTGCTATAAATGCTAAATATTAACAATTAACATATATCATAATAAAATAGAGGTATAGGACCCTATATTATCCGTCTCTTCGATGATTTTCAAATTGATGTTCTGCCACAAAAGACAAGTATAGGTACCTACCTACATTTAATGCTAAATTATTTTTCCAAAGTTATTATATCTACGATGTTTACCCACGTACATGTACATATTCAACACCTAGTAAACTATTAAAGACTAATAAATAATACAACTGATACTATTGTTTTGTTATGCATATAGTTAAATTATATTTATAGGTTTTATTACTTTAATCTAAAGGATTTAAAATAGATTATAAATAAGCAAAATAATTTCAAACAAAAGCAGAAGAATTTAAAATAGTAAAATTATTAATTTAAGTACAGTAATTAAATTTTAAATTCTGTATTATTGATAATTTTATTGAACACCATGTTAACATATTTTGGTCAGTCAATATTAAACAATAAATAGGTACCTATATTGTGAATAGTAAAATTAAGCCATAAGTATAAAAATTCAATAGGTTTACGCTTTTAGAAAAAGTCACAAATAATTTAGTTCCTATACGTAGTTACTTTTTATAAAACTAAAATTAAAATTAATTTATAATATAAAATAATTGGTAAAAAATAATTAAATAACAATAATATAATGATTAAAGATATAAATGAAAAATCACCCGTGAATAAAAAGATTAAACCGTCGTTTAAGCAATGATTTTTAACAATAATTTTCTGTAGTCTCCAGAGGTATCTCCCTGAAAAATAATTTACATCAAATATATGATATAATTAATTAATTAATTAAAATAACTTAATGTTGTAGATTAAAAAGATTAAGAAAAAAATATGAACAAAACACTTACGGTTACCCACGACTCCAAAGTTTTACCGTACTTCTTTTCAAACACTTGTTTTATATCTCCGAGGTCGATTTCTGATCTAGACACAATGATTCTTATCAGAGTTTTGTCATCTGTTCCTAAGCCGACCATACTTTTATGTAAACGCTCAGCAAAAAAGTTAACTTTGCTTTTCACACATTTCACTGAAAAAACAATATACAGGGTTATTTTAATAATGCGTGGCACATACATTTTCATATAAGTATTTTATTTGTTATTTATATTATTAGATTTGTAGCGTATTATGAAAAATAGATAAATAATTTATGTCCGATAAAAAACATTATTTTAAATCTCTGTATAAAAATAAAGCTGTAATTTATTAGTACCTAAAAACAATAGACCCATGCAAATATCTCCGGAAAATTCGCTTTTGATTGATTCTTCTAAATCCTTAGAAGCCAATTTTTCATACTCTATAAATACACGTCTCAAATGTTGGTAACTTTTGGTAACCAAAATCCTGTTGAATTCCGATTCATCCGTGCCCCATTTTATTTTTTCACCTGCATTGTACAAAGCCTCAGCGTCTAAACGCGCTGCGTTCTCATCAACTGTAGGCGTTTCATCTCGGTTTCCCTAAAAAATTAAATTGTACATTCAGTATTTGAAAAAAATAAATCATATAAGTATACTTCAATATATTATATATATAACAAAATTAATAAGAATTTTAATGTTTGATATAAATATTTTTAATGTCTTTTAATATCACTTTATGAAGTGAGTTGTGATGGTCACTCTTCTGCATTTTTCATAAGCACATTGCATTTAAAGTAAAAAGCAAGAAATAATCCTTTTATTCTAACTGTAATTGATAGTTCTTAGTAGACAGAATTTACAACCTGCTTGTCTTTAAATCTGACGATGATCACGGGTTAAACATATCTTATAAATTTCATTACATATAATTATTATTAACTATAATTAACTATTGAATTTGGGCCTTAAAAATTATTTCTTGAATAAAATCCTATACAATCATTTAATTTTTATACACCAAAATATATGTATAAAGTTTTATTATACTTAACACGAGTTTAATATATTTTGTAAAATATTATATATTGGTGTATACAAGGCTGGATTGGGTCAACAATTTTTGCCGGAAAAATCAAAAAATCGTCCCACTTCGGAAAACCTATAAAACCTTAAAATATATATTTTCACGTAAAATGATAGTATATTATTTCGAGAATTTGAACTCTCAAAATTGTTATTAAAAATAAAAAAATTAATAATTAGTTAGTACAAAGAAATGTTATCATTTTTATTTAAAAAACATATATTTAGACTAAAATACACATTAGTATATATTAAGTAATTTATTAAGGTTTGAGCTCTTTTGCAAAATTGTGTTGATTATGCTTTAACCAATAAACTTAGAAATAAAAGTTTCTACGAGTATAAGTGGCCCCCCGAGAAACTTCCGGTATCCCGCCTGCCCAATCCGGCCTTAGGTGTATTATATAATATGTATATTAAATTCTTTACAATTCTGAAACTTTATTAAATAATAACATAAATAATGTATAATATTTTATGCAGTTTACATATAATTACCAATACACATCAGAGATCTAAATGTTCAAAATAAATAAGTATGAATATATATATATATATATATCAAAGGAATATACTAGTAAAACATCAAACCAAATATTAACGTTAAAATAAAGTTTTATCACACTATAAAAGAGTCGATAATAACTATATGTGATTAGGAGAATTTTGTGCTCAATGTCAATGAAAATGTATGAAAAAAATCGTATTCATTAAAACTATGACTCACTCTAAACGCTTATAATGTGCGTCACATATTATGCATATCTGACTATCTAAACTCTATTATGCATATAAAAGAAATATCTATAAAATTATTATTACTATTTTTATATTTTTGCATGTCTGTGTCATTCAAAGTATTAGATATTCGTTTAAACTTAATAAATATACCTTAATTATGTTTTAAAAAAATTGCTGAATTATTATATTTATATATATTAAATTTTTTTATTACCAATTGGTGACATCGTGTGTACAAATCAGTGGCGGATCCAGAAGGGGCGAAGGGAGCACCCTCCCCCCAAATCAAATAAAATAAAAAAATAAGGTATTATAAGACCAAGTTTTTTTTAATCTGATGACTTTTTTTTTGCTGTCTATACGTATGCCCCCCACAGCACTCCATGGAAAATTTCTGGATCCACACATATAGTACAAACTGTACAGTATACAGTTAATGCAGTCTTAATAGATATACTGTATATTAGATAGAGCATTAATAAATCAACAAAAAGTTTTTAATTTTAATAAAAAACGGAGCAAAGTTTATTAATTATATTATAAATATCCACTTACTATCGTTAATTAATAAACTATAGGTACTTATTTAAATTTAACCAAATTCCAAAATAAAATTTTGAACAATACACTACATCGTAAATTCTTATATATCTATAGGTATTATTATATCTTACCATACTTAAGGATACGCAAAGACGTTTGAAATGGCCTGATGTGTCGCCTTTAATATCCTTTTCAAGACTGTGTCCATAAACTGAAATAAAATAAATTTTATTTGTAAGTAAATGTCTGATGTTCAAAAAAACTATCAATATATAATATTTAATATTATTATAATACCTCGAATTCGTATATATTTTAATAATAATATGCAGTTTTAAAATAAACATTTTTAATCAGTAAAAAAACGCAGTTCGCGAATCGCAAACAACATATAATGTATTCATGTCTCATGTGTAACAATAATTACCGAGATTATTTTTAAATAAGCCTGTAAATAATATACTACACAAGTCTGATGTATGGTGTAACTTTACAATTCTAAAATGTCCGATATAACACCATTGCTATTACAAGAATGACAGTGATAAGGTGTAGAAATAGCAGTTTTAAATTCCTTGTTCTATTTTAGCTTTATAAAATAAACACATGTTCAATAGTCACTATAGATATATGTATGAGTAAGTATGTGTATATTAAGCCATTGAATACATAAATGAAGCTAAAAACGTGAATTTAACAATTCAAATGGATTAATCGCCTGAAAATAATGTGATTTTATTGCACGGGAGTCGAATGTGCATTATACGATCTCATTGGTTTAAGTAGGTAGGTAGGTGTTGATAACTATTAGGTAACTAATATTCTTATTTTTATTTTTTAAAATACATATTTGGTTTATGGTTTGAAAGAAATATAAGCAATAAATTATCATTATTCATAGGTATTTTGTATACAATCGCGTTTTAACTATTGTGATAATATTATATAGCAATACTACACTTTGTGAATGCGACTATACTGAAAATATTATATAATTTAAGTACAAAAAATATATTATTATAAAAACGTCTTATACCACAGTTAATATTTTAAACACTAATGTTAAAATAATTGTACATTTTATTACTACCTCCTTATGCCGTTCAATTAATAAACAACTGCAGTCGACGAAAGTTTCAATTTATAGTCGTGACATATACATAGATTAGATATAGCCATATAAACACATTCCAAGCGAGAGAGGAGCGGCCTTTCAGTTAATTTTCATAGTTTCAAATAGACACAGTTTCTATATCGTACAAATTCGTAATAATGTCCGGTAATTTTATTATGAGTCTAAAATAACAAATGCGATATGACGCTCGTCATGTAATACTTTCATCAATTATTATTATTACGTATAATGTACAAATTACACTCAATATATGTATATATTATATAGTTTGCATTTGAGCAGTCCGTTCAAAATAAAAAAAATATTACACATAGATAACTGGTTTTTGTGAATGAGTTTTTGAGTTTTTATTTTCGTTAATAAAATATTAACGAATCGTTTAAATTACGAAAAGAATGACATAATAATATAATGTATGTACGTATTTTATGCTGTCCAAAAATGACGGACGTCATCGTCAATCATACGAGTATATAATATTATTAGATATCTAAGAATTTAAAATACTCGTTAAAGGTCGATAAATATTTAACAGTGATTATTAAAACGCGTGAACAATCAAAAATATGATTTAAAAAATGTTATAATATACCCAATCAAAATAACACGAATCAGTCAATAAAAAAAAAAAAAAAATATTGCGTTTAGATACAAAAATGGGTAGTGAATTTTATTTTTGTGTACTATTTCAAAATCTAGTATATCATAAACTATATCTATCAATGTTGCTATACTATTTAATGTATTAATAATATACGAGTTGAAGTTTAGATGCTACATATTTACTATAATTTATGTTTTCTGAACTATATTTATGTTTAAATCATAATTCATATACAATATAATACCATCATTAATATTTTACCAGTTTTTTTCGAAAAAAAATAAAAGTTTTATTATTAAATTTATTTAGATAATGGTGCCAACGAATTCATTCAGTTATATACCATTAATTAAATCGTAATAATCAGACGTTATAAATATAATTGACACAAAATATTAACTATAGTCTTTAAAATTATTATTTTTATTTTTATTTTAAACTCTATTTGACAAGAAGGTCAAGTTTGGAGAACATATTTTGAACAATCAAATATATGAATAAAAAGTCTTTTTGAAAGTATCTCGGGTTAGCTCTATTCCAACTCCCACCCAGAAAATAAGTACTTACTATTATAATTTTACTTCAAGGATGCATAGGTACGCAAACTAATAGAACTAATATACAAGATATATAAGAACAACTATTTGATCATAAAATAGTAACCATACTACCTATAGAGTAGGTACATACATTTTCGTGCTTGTAATATAATCAAATTTATACTTATTCAATTTAATTTTTATGTATTTTACAAAGCTAATTTTGAGAAATTTAAATATTAATTATAGCCTATTTCTTATTTAAAATTTTAGTTCATTAAGTTAAATTTTAAAATATTTCTAAAATAAGTTTATAATTTTAAATTAGGACGTGATGATAAAAATATTAATACTAAAAAGTATTTCAAATAAAGATAAACATAAGCTAGTATTCTTTCTGTTTTTCTATAAATAATATTATGCAAATATATTTACAACTATAATAATAAAAAATTCAATAAATAATCAATGTAGAATTTTACTTAATGTAAATTTGTAACTAGAAAAACTATAAACATAATAATCTTTGCCCAAGATAAACAAAACCAATCAGAAAAAAATCACAGACAGCCAAACAGACATGATACCGCAACCAAGTGTCAATGAGAGAGGCTCTCTTTTCGTTTTTTCTTCATTAAATTTTCTTAAGGTTAGTTTCATTATAAAATCAATGAAAATATTACAAATTTAAGTATTATTATTAGCTTAGTTTATCTAAAATAGTCATGGTCTTATTAAAAACTAGTATCTTTGTCAATTCTTTGTAATTATTCAAATGTGTTTTTATATTTGTTAGTTGTTACCTATTGATATATAAAAATAATTGTATGTTTAATGAATAATTTGTGTCGGTCGTTAGAAAACTACACGCAACGTTTAATGCTCCTTCGCAAAAAAAAAAAAAAATTAATAATTATTTTCCAAAGAAAAATTAAGTAAAGAAAAAATACACATAGTTAACACTGTACTTGATATCTAAAACCAGAACTAAAATGAATTTCATAACTGCAATGAAATTAATGTCAAACGTCAATTGATTTTGAATAGTCATTCAAGTGCTTGGAAAATACAAATATTTAAATTAATTTAAGTCATTAAACATATAATATATTAAAACAATAAACGTTTAAATACGTTTAAATTTGATTAATATCAATGACAATAACAAAAATTAAAATATACCATTATTTCTCAATATTTTAATATATTTAATAATAAATTTAGTTTGAAGGATTTAAATTAAAAACAAAACATCTATAGGTATGATTTATGCGTGTAAAAATGAGTATTATTTAGATATGTAAATAATTTACGACTATCCCAATTTTATTGTCGTGTAAATTGTTTAAGACATAATAAAAAAACTTAATATAGTCTAAGTATGTTTTTCTCTCTCTCTTTTTTTTTTTTTTTTGATAACATTATCAAAAATTAAATACCTATGTAAAATAAAAAACGCAAACATTAAATTTAATAGAAAAGTTATCGCGTAAGTCATTTTAAGCACGTTGTAGTTTGTTAAATTTGTTTTGATTAATTTATTTATATATGATTAATTAATAAGTTTATATAATATTATATTCGAATTTAAGTAAATCACGAATTTCAATACTAGTACTAAAAAGCAATAATATAGACTTAATCGATCAACATAATACATGCATATTATAATGTAATTTTATTGTAAATCATATATTCATGATAAGTTTAAAATTTTTCCAAATAAATGTTATTATTGGGTTACTTACGTTTTTCGTAACATTCAGTGACTGTTCGTATACCAAAATTGCTTAAGGTGCATAATATCTCAACAAGCACTTCTTCGTGGGTGCCTATTCCAGAGATAGCGTCATGTAACTCCTTTGCGTAAAATTCCGGAAGTGGCGTCATCAATGCCAACACGGTGTCCTCAAAGTGTCCACTTAGTTCGTTTTTTAATTCTTTTTTCAAATCCTAAACATTGTTTTCATCATAATTATATATACTATGTTTAAAAACTAAATTTCACACTTTAATGATAATAACTAAAAGGTAAAATGTTATGATTTAATTTATTTTTTACCTTTCCATACAATGTCTTAAAGGCTTCCGCAATTTCAATGCGCTGCACAACACCTCGATTAGCAATCACATCAATTATAACTTTTTGGTCACATCCAAAGCCTTTCATAGCTTTTTTCAGAGCAATGGCATCTTCTTTTGCATCAAAATTTGATGATGCAAATACGGTAGGAGTACACTTTAAAAAATTAAAAAGTTTTATGATATTATTACCTATTATAATTCCTATTTGCTTTATGATTAAACATTTTAGTCCAATAATATAATATCAATATTTGTTTGCCATTAATATTAGTATTAAGAGATTTAAGAAAACAATTTATAATAAGTACTACATTTTATATGATTGTTAAAATATGTGTACAAATCACTTTTTTATTTCAATGTGCACATTGCACTTAGTGTTTAAAATATAATAATTAACAACATATAGACACCTTTAATAAATAATCTCTATTCTCTAGGCATTTAAAATATACTAAAGAATCATAGAGTATATTTTTATATACCATAATAATACTATCATGTTTACATTAACATTTATATAAATATTGATTGTCACCATTTGCAGCTCACTTATTTACATTTTTTATTTTTATACATATTTTGAAATTAATCATGTATATATTATATTATTAACAAGCCAAACTTATTCTACAATAAATATTTACTGTGAAGTATAGCTAAACGCTAAAGTCTGTTTACTTAATAAATACTTTTTATTTTTAAGTAAAAAAAAATGTTTTGGCTGTATATAAATAATTAAAAAGTTTAATGTCCGTCTTAATATAATTAATAAAATACATTTAAAAAAATTTTATAAACCAAATAATTATTGTATAAACATATACTAGAAAAGAAAAAATATACCTATCATATATGAACTTATTTATCAACTACCTACTCAAAAAATCATCATACATGATTTGTTATATAATTTAAATTAATCAACTAATGTCCAAAGTGGTTCAGAATAATAATCAAAATCAAATAAATAACTTAAAATAATTTTTTTCAAGATTTTTTAAGTTAGAATTCTGGATGTTTTAGAAAAAATATGTATAAAACTTAATTATTTTAACTTACATGTCGTACTTTTTTTGGATTTTTTTGGATCATTGAAAATATATAATTTCAATGACATATTATACGAAATGTAATCGGATATATTTTAATATACCTATTATTCACTACTACTTAGTAAACAATTAAATACAATACTAATTTATATCTATGATGTTAACTACTTTGATAAATTATAAAAATATAAATACCTATCTTAGATTTTATTGTTGGTAATTATTGCATTTACTTCAAATATGAGTTGATAATTAATATGACAATAAATATTATTGTACTATAAATCTAGAAATATTTATTTTCTTCATACCTCTTTTTTTAAGATCAACGTCAGTTAGACGTTAAAATATTTAGAATTATTAATAACTTATATCCATATAATTATCAATGGATTTTAATTATTTAATAAAGATTAAGTTTAATAAACTGTGATGAAATTATTTATTTTCAATTTATAAATGTACTTAATTACAAGAAAAACAAATATTTTAAATCTTTTTTGTATGTTCTATCAATAATCATATTCTACAAAATATACTTTAGAATTTATTGATATTATATGTTTTATAGTAAATAAATGCCTGTTAAGTTTATCGAAGTCTTTTTAAAATACCTAACTATAATGTAATTATAAGTTACGTCACTATTAACAATAAATACAAATAACGAGATTCTATTTAAAACTTATATCATTGAATTATTTTGAATGATTAGACCAACAAATTTATTTCGATATTAACAAAATTAAAAATTAAACAATAAGATAATTGGTACCTATTTCAGTAATGTTAAACCGTCTGTTTGATACATTAACTATATACACACATTTAGGTATAGATACTGTACTAGAAACTAGCTTATGATGGATAAAGATATAAATTAATAATCTACTTCTTTTTTTGCTACGTCCTTCACCCTCCACTGTACCCCCTTGTCTTTAAAAAGGGATAATATTATGGTTATAACCACTATATAAGCTATATAAGTGAGGTATATCCGTTTAATTATTATGATCTACACCGACTAAACAGTATAACATAATTATATATTTACTGTATACAATAAGAAGCTTAGCATACATACCTAAAAGCCTAAGATAATATATATTACATAGTATAGGTATTTAGATATAATATAGGTAACCTATGTTTCGTTTTTGGCACTGACAACACTTTTTACTAAACGTTAGAGGCATAATTTTATGTATAGAAAATATAATCAGTGAGTAGAAGTTAAACTATTTAATATATTTTTAGAGCTTATTTTTTCTCCTCATTTTAAAAAAGTTCAATCAAAAACTAAAATAAAATAAAATTCCCCAAAAACAGAAACGGAAACGTTGTAAACTTGTATCTCGTTTATTTAAAATACTAAATAGCACTTAAATTATTATCGAAAAATAAGATTGAAGAAGTAACGTTCTTCTTTATTATTCAAACAACTATAATTGTATAGGTAGCTGAAATTACTAGAAAAATTTTTTTCTACTATCTCATCTTCGATATATCCACATAATATCCAATAACACGAGTATGTTTACGGTGAAGGATCGGATGGATTCCTGGAAAAAATGTCGCACTATTTGATTGGTAAGATAGAGTACGTTATACGTCATGAATATTTTATAATACTTTTGGGTCATATGACCATTCTATAATCAATAGAAAATAAAGTATGACCGATTTATCATAAGCTTCGGTGGAATACTGGAACGACTGCGACGAAATATTTAAATCAAAAATTTATCGTTTATAATAATAGTTATGGATTATAAATTCTATTATTTTTTTTTTTAATAAATATACACATAGCATTTTAATATGATGTGTATTGCATATAGGTATTATAAGTATAATTTTAGGTAATGGTCGTGTGTAAATCGTTTGTGCAAGAGCAACCTATATACATCCTTATTACAATAGTAATGGCAATAAATCGGTATAATATCTATATCTCTATGTTCTATAAAGGTACAAAACAAACGCCACTTACTTTTGTGGTAACGTAATTAGCCATGTCGTCGCGTCTGAAGACTTGAACGGGATACCGCGACTGTTTGTTGTGAGACGAGAAAATCAGAGATTAGGTCGTCCGCGAACGTGACGGGGCGGAGATCACGAACAAAACAGCAGACAATTTTTTGACAGACGATTCGCAAAGACGTCAAAGATTGACGACGTATCGGGCGCAACTGAACCTCGGACCGCTATACACTCGAGTCTTGAGAGCCCAACAATGTATTATTATTGTGTCGAGACTTCGAAGCTACGGCACGCGCGCGCGCATGTGCGATGATGTCATAGGTACTGTATGTTTATAACACAAAATAATATTAATGCAACCACTGCCCACTACCACCGAAAACGGCCGTCGACATAATTATGTTATTGGTGTGTAGTGTGTACTACCTTCAATCGGCCGCGGAGTTTTTACCGTGCCAAGGACGCTCCAGCCATTTGGGGGACCGCGTTACAATATTATTATTATTATTATTATTATTATTATTATGTTTGTAGGTACTCATTATTATTTTTATAATATACATTACCTAAACTTGGTATCCGGTATGTATATGTACCGCGGTGGTTAATGGTTATCGTCGTCCGTCTCGGAACCGCCACAGAAGCCTATATGTACACACGATGCAGTACGGATACCGGGATACATAAGAGCCTACACAACACGTACACTTTATCCATCACTTCCATTCGACTTTTAACGCGCGTATTGCGTAGGTAGATATATATATATATATATTGTATATACTATATAGTCACACCGTTACACTGTCGTAGAGAAATCTCGGATTTCATGATCGTCGCACGATCACAGCACGAGTAAGTATCTACATCATAAATATTTATTATGCCGCGTACCTGTGTATATAATATACGTATATTAATAGATAGATAGGTATATTTTATTCTTTTTACGATTTCAAGTCGGTCGTTTTTGGTTCGTTGACGACAATAATTATGTAATACAAATCACATAAAGATAAGCAGGTAGTAGGTACTCGTTTCGACTGAATTTTCCCGAATGTTCGTTTACTTTAACTTATTTAGTTATTAAAAATTAAATACCATGTATAATTAATTATTATATAGTATAATACCATATCATCCATATCGCACCGTCAACGGTATAATGAACCCAGTGGCTGTAAAAATTGCAAGTAAAAAAATATCGTATACGCCATGAGAATTATAATAATTAATAAATATACATTCTGTATTGTGTTGACCGCGTAAACAACGAGTTAATAATGGGTGTCGCCTAAAGTTAGATCTAAAACCTATGCGTGCGTATAAAGTAATTACATATTATTATGTATAAATGTACGAAATATGTAGTGCACAATACGGTCGCGCGAGTCTCTATAATATAAAATTTTGTATTATACACAGTTATCACGCGACGTCGTACAGAAAGTGTCGTAAACTATTATTACAAAAAAATTAAAAATAAAACAATTCGAGAATTATTATGAATAAAATATCGATCGCTATTTGTTAATGTTCGCCATATTAAGTATAATGCTAAATAAAAACGGAACGCGGTCAAAAGCCTGCAACTGTGTGCTATGTAGTAACTGCTTGATAATGCCGATATGGAAAGTTCGTTTCAAAACATACTCATATAAGTCAAATAGAATATAATGATACACATTTAATTTCTTCTGGTATATTGATTGATAGACTTTTCGGCAAGCTTATATTAGTTATTGTTATGTCTTGTTATGCATATACTAAGTAGAACTTAAATATTTAAGTAAAATACGTAACAGTGTGTATTACCTGTGGTCCATAGACCGCAAGAGACGATAAATAACTATAAATACGCGAGTGTGTGAGTGTGTATATATATAATATGTTTTAAATTATTTTCATTCCGAAAAGAGCTAACAATAACGTGATTGAAATATACTTATATATATAGGTATCTACATAATACGTTACATTGTACATATTTACCAGAGCATTAATATTGTAATTTGTAATTGCGAACATAATATTTCTATAGACTATAGTGAATCTCTATAGATGTTTATGAAATACGTGTAAATTATTAATGCTCAATAAAATGTATAATATTATTAATACCTATTATTTAGTTAAAATATTTTAATAAAATGTATACACGGGTCTCCCCAAACGTATAGTGCCTATATAGGTACTCCGCAAGCCATACGCCATAGTGGATTACTGTTATTATAATTTCTTATAATCAATAAATTGATTATGGTTTTCCAAAAATATATTTAAAAAGGTCATTTATGTTGTCATTAGGTAATATGAAATATGCCTGAGGAAAACTAATAACCTAAAAAAAATATAATATTTAACTTAACGAACTGTTACGATGTTCAATAACCCGTTGTCGAAGTGAAAGTTAAATTTAAAAATAAATTTCCCACCTACATACGGAAACTATTAAGCTATAGTATAATATATATATATATATTATATAGTTAATAGTTGCATCTACATTCTATATTAGGAAGAGCAGTACCTACCTATAACAACCTATAAATTAAATAAACCAAAGAATCATATTGTTACAATTATTATTTATTTGATTATTGGTTTTTAAGACTCTTTTGTACCAAACGTGAATTATTGTATGTAAATATATTGTATTTCATTCAATTTAACATTCAATATCGTAATGTACATAAATATATATGTGTACCTTCTATACCTGAATAATAAATGCATGTTCAAATTGACAGCTATGTTTTATTGACAACGTGGTTATAGGTAATATTATTTGAAATATTTATAGTTGTATTTATCCAATAATAATGATATAAAATCAATAAAAATGATTACAAATAATATAATATTAAAATATAGTATACCTACATAATTATTATTAATTTGTATATAATATTATATAGGTACTATATTATTATCATTACTTCTATGCATATTCATACATCATACATGTACCTATGCAAGATCTGTAATAACTAGTAGGTAAGCCCAAACTTTTTGTGGTTTCTACTTTCTTTAACACATTATCAGATTTATAAAACGCGATATTATTATATGTTAAACATAATTTTTTATCACAACGTATAGATAAAATAAATTTTATTTTATAATTAACCTAATTGTATAACCATTCATCAACAATCATAGTTTTATCATAAACAATAAACATTATAATATTATGATGACAATAATACCAAATACTTACTATAGTAATTACATTATATATTATTATTTTTTTTTAACTTTTATTTTTAATACATACAAATATACAATCTATAAATAAGTTGTACAATAAGCATGTTTGAGGATTTACATTATTGGCATGGTTGACACGACGAAGTAATCACTCAGCAGTAACACTTATTGGCTAGAAAATTAGAGTTATTTCATATCAGATTGCGGTTCCAATTTCACTTTAACCTTCTAGGTGGGTTTCCAGGAATGGATTCAGAGTTTAGAGCAATGATTAGAGGGTTAAAGTGGTTTATAAGACGGGCACGGAAGAGTTTATAGCCATTTTTGGCTTCTTCTTGAACAGTGAGTATTAAGTCTGAATGTAAAGTGTGGTTTGAAACATACGGAGGAACACATGTAATCATACGTAGTGAGATTGATTGGAATGTTTGAATTTTATAAATATTGCATTTTTTTACTGATCTCCATAGTTTAATACCATATAACTAAATTGGTTTGAAGGGGATTTTATACAAAAGCAGTTTTGTATTAAGGTTAATTTTTGATTGTTCTCCTATAAGTGGAAAGAGTGCTCTTCGTCTGGCATTTAGTATGAGTCTTTTTTGTTTAATGTGTGTGGCCTATGTAACTTGTAAGTCTTTAATCGTGTGTCATACCCAAATATTTGATGTTAGAGGAAGAATAAATGATTTTATTGTTTAAGTGACTTGGGGTACCGTGCTTTTTTTGAGAATAAAAGTAATGTGAGATGATTTTTCATTATTTATTTTTATTCTCCATTTGGAGTACCAGTCTGCTAGTAAGTTTAAATGATTTTGTAGATGTTGGCTGGCATGGTGTAGATTTTTTTCTGAAATATATATATGATTCTGTCGTCAGCGAAGTCAGCTATCGAAGTATGAGAGGTGGTTGGTTGATCAGCTGTGTATATGTTGAATAGTATGGGGGAAGAGATACATTATATATTATAAATTTAATATATTAATATGACAAAATTACAGTCTACAGATAGTAATTAATAATTTAAATAATAATTTTTTCATCGCACTAAAAAAAAAAAAAAAAAGGATTAATGTTATGAAAAAGTAAGTAGATACAAATGTTATAATAGGTAGGTACCATTATTGCACCATAATCATCGTAGACAATTTTATTCAAAATTTCTACCCAAGTTTACTTAACATAGGTCATATTTTTTTTTAAATTATAAACATCAATATGACATATTAATTTAGATTATATTGCCTGCACAGTATCACTAGTACAGTAGTAAATATTATTAAAAATATTTTAAAGTCTAACAAATCATCAAAAATGTATGTATTATATAATAATAAATTATAAATAAATATATATATAACAACATACCGTGAATCGTGGTATGCCATTACACGCATTGGCCATCCCGGGTAAATACTACATCACATAATAATATATAATATATAATATTATTATTAATGTATTATGTATAATATTTGTCATTTGACGAATGACGGTATATATCTGTTTTACATCTGCTATCTCCTGTTTACACAAGAAGCGTATTCCTTTGTTCATTATACGAATACCTCGAGTATATAATATATATTTTCAGTTTGGCATATGGTGGTTATTTATAATTTACGACTGCTGATCGTTTTCTTTAATGAAAGTTTTTCTTTGAACTTCTATTTTCATTTATGTATAGACATTAGACAAGCACTTAAGCGAAACATCTATTGCGTTTACACCGTGTAGTATGGTATACTAAATTTTTGGCTTATTATTTTTTTATTATTATTGTTATTATTTCTAACTTATATATAATTATACAAACAAAAAATAGGTGTAACAAAACGTGTAAATAAAACATGTTATACAATTTCAATGGCTAGCGGGTAAATTTAACTGAATCCTTTGTAAGTTTTATCACTAAAGTATAAAAGTTAGTAATTATTTTGATTAAATAAGTTCAATTTGAAACTTTCCAATAAATTATTATAGAATCACAATATACGTGTGTATAGTTATTATATATATATATATATTTTTTTTTTTATTAAATAATTAAATAATAGGTATAAAATATA